GTAGCAGAAATCATACTAGACATTTTGATGTTTACTAGAAACATAACATTCTACTGGGCAGGTCTACTAGAATGTGTGTGAAGCTTTCTGGAGAACATTGGAATTAGTACCAAATTTATTATTATATGCAACTCCGATAAAACTGTCTTCCCTCCTTCCTTTCTTCCCCCCCACCCTCTCTCCTACCTCCCTCCCTGTCTCCCCCACATTAAGTGGGGTTGCAGGATCAGAGGGTCTGCACTGTTTAGTGTTTGATACCTATTCCAACCAAGAAGTCCCTCAGGACATTTATAAAGACAGCAAAGAGTGACTGGGCCTTTACTACCTGCCCAGACTATGCTTAGAACTCACCCCGCAGTGTGCCTGGGCCCTCACACCCATCCTAGAGCCAAGTCCCGCTTTCCTTTGGAGTTTTGCAGCAGGTGAGTCTACCAAGGCCCAGAGTGAGAACTTCGTCTTCGCAGCGGCACAGGGCTGGTGGTTTGCTGGAGGTGGTCTGGAGCTAGAGCAGGGCTCTTTCATCAGGACAGCTCTTGCATTAGCTCCAGGAGGCTAATGTTATCCCCATTTTCACAGGCCAGGATATTTGAGGACACACAAGGACCAAGTCCAAGATCACAGGCTGATGACGGAGGGCCAGAGTTTGACTCATGGTCTGTTTGGCTGCAAAACAGGGATTTGTGGATTCATTCAGGAGTGTGTCCTCATACGGGTCTCACAGACTTAGTTTTCAAGGTTTCTCCTGCTTCCACCGGAGCCCGGGGCTGGGGCTCAGGGCTAAGGGGTCTGCATCTACCCAGGCCATCTCTCTGCAGGTCCTGTGGTCTCTGGCATTTGCAATCTGGACCTGGGACACTGACATCCTCCTTCTCCTGTCATCCCCCATCACTTCTGGTACCCTCAGCTCTCTGTATTTGGGCACAGTTTTGATTGCAGATTACAGAAAACTCAGCTTCAATGGTCTTGGCATAAAAGAGAATTTATTGGCTCATGCAACTGGTAAGCTTGAGAGAAGATGACCAGCAGGCATGGTTTATTCAGGGTTGGGCTCCTTTTCTCGGCAACCCTCACTGTCTTCCTCTGAGTGCTGGTTTTTTTTTTTGTCGTGGGCTGACTGTGTTCTTTATGATAGCCAACTGACTTCCAGCAGCTGCAAGACTACAAACTTGCTTGTCCTCAGTCCTCCAACAACATCCTGACTTGGCTCTGGGTGGATCCCCTGAGATCACACACTTACCGTTGACCCTGTAGCAATGGCAATGGGGACGACAGAGGGGAGAAGACAGAATCTTCTCTTCCACCTCCCTTGCTTCTACTTTGATGCCTGGGGCCGAGTGGAGTGGAATCTCCTGCAGGAATGCGAAGATGCTGAAGCTGGCGCCAAAGCTGACCCACGGACAGCAGAGGCCCCTCCAAGCCCGCCATGCCGCTTGCGTGGTCGTGCATAGAAGCCGCTCGCGTGCATAGAAGCCGCTCGCGTGCATAGAAGCCGCTCGCGTGCATAGAAGCCGCTTTCTCTTAAAACAGAATGGCGAGAAGTCTCCGCGCTTTGCCTGGGCACACAGACTGCTCATGTCTCATCTCTGCTGCTGGATGTTCCGCACAGAATGAAACCATGCTTCCGCACTAGGAACATTTCAGATCCATTTAAGAGGGAGCAGTTGTAAGTGGGAAGCAAGGTACAGGAGATATGTTGGGTGGGCGGATTAGCTGGAACATTTCCAAGTGGGTAGAATTTTATTTCAAGCGCATGTACATCTGCCTCTTTCAGCTCTTTCAGTTACACATGCTCTTTCCTACCACCAAGTGAAAGATTTTTTTTTATTTCCAATTCTCCTTGTGCAGGTCAAATTCACTGGCGACAGATCTCCACCCTGCCCATCCAGAGGTGCAGCTTCTCCTTTATTCCTTGGGCTGGAAGCCCTTTTCCTAATACCTCTGTGATTAGTTGAAATGATTTGGGACACTCAATCAACTTGACTTAGTAAAAGCAGAAGGGAATGATACACAAAGAGAGGCTTAAATCTAGTATTGTATATGGCCACTCTTATGTGGTCTTTCCCCATGGGTCACGTCTCTGGTCTGCTTCCCCATGGTGGCAAATATTCTCCACCACCCCTGACCACTTGGATTTCACTGCAGAGTTCTGTAGTCTGGGCCACAGACTGTTTCACCTTTGTCCTAAGTCTATTTTCTGCCCTAGGAGCTGCCTCTTCCCTAGATGACTGGTGAGGAGGTTGGGGTGACCACTGCTTTTGGGGACCACCCTATCCTCAAGCCTTTTCTCTCTTAGGCATCAGCTCACAATAGTCCAACATCAGTGAAAGTGAAACATGGGTAAACCCTTGCAAGACAACTGCCTCCTTACACTTCCTGCTGCTGCTTATAGATGATAAGTTCACTTATAATCTATCTTACAATTTAGCTGAAATAATATGCTTTCCTGTGGCAGACTTGTTGGCACCCGTGGCATGTTAAATTCTGGCAGGGGCAGGACTTACGCTTGCACAGATTGACCTCACTTTAAACAATAAAGTTTCCTGGGAAAGATCAGGGCTGGGTGCACCAGCCTGGTTGTATGGATGTGAAGCTTTCAGACACCCTTATATATGACTGTGTGGCTGAAAGTGACAGGCCCCTGCATGGTGGTGGGGATCCCCGGTCCATGCATTTAAAGAGAGGGGGTTCAAGCCGCCTACCCCACAATCACTGATTGAGCTATTTGTCCCCTGAAAGATGATATGAAGACAGATTGAGAGGGACCCAGCTCCCTTTCCTAGCCCCTGGTCTAGAGGGGAAGGCTGCCTTAAAACACATGATTGCAGCTCTGTGGGCTTTGTGTTATAATGGGAAGTGATTAAAGCACCAGATGGAGGTCGGGGACAGACATGAGCCGAGGGGAGTAGCCAGCGGTTCCCAGAGAAGCTGTCCTTCCTTGCCGAGAGGGGAGCAGTGATGATTCTGAACCAGACTCCTCCAGCTCTCACGGTCTCCCTGTTGTCCAGTCAGACCCCAGGCGAAGCCCAGGCCTAACTCACGGCCATTCCAACCCAACCTGTCATTGCAGTGGTTGTGCAAAGGGGTAGCTGGCAGTGGAGGGGAGTGGTTTCCCTTCCAGCTCTCCATCACCATCTCATGAGCACCATGAGAGCAGAGCAGCCTACCAGGGAAGTGAACACTGTGTGCCAGCTGTCCACACACGGTGAAGTGCTTCCCTCTACCTTGCTCCGGCCATGTTGCTCCAAGTCCCTCCTATGTGGGGGACACTTACAGGTCACCCCAACAGTGGACTCCTTCTGAAGTCTTTTCTGTAAAAATGCAAATCTTTTCTCCTTTATTCATGCTGGGTAAGTTAGAAGATTTGAAAGATGGTGTCCTAGGAAAGTTAAGGCTAAACAAATGGAAATAAAAGAGAGAGAGAGAGAGAGTAAAAGAGAAAAGAACTCAGATCAGATCATGGACCCTTCTCTCTACTTACATACCAGGGGCCCGTTGGGTCCCTCACTGATCTCTCGGAACGGGACATGGGCAGGGCTCAGCACAGCAGTGTGCTGTGATGTGGCTTCTCTGTTTCCCCTTCTTCGTCCAGTTTCCTCTAACTGTCTGGTCGCTGTGGGCTGGGTGCCCTGAGGAGTTCCAGGCTTTTTCATTTGGACACACCAGTGCCTCAGGTAGGCCACTGCCTCTCTTTGTCTGGACTTCCTTTGAGATAGAAAAACTTGGCTTGAGTGAATTTTAGGAAATGTATCTACTTTTCTGGGATGCAAAGATTTCTGTAGATGGTTTCCTGCTTCGTCCCAGTGAGATGCTTCCGTCTCAACCACCTTTGCTGTTGTAGCTGGTGACATGCAGGCTATAGTGTATTGCCCTCCTTGTGCAGGGAAGAGGCTTACACCCCCCACTTTGATAGTTATTGCTTTGCCTAGGATGTTGTCTTTTGTGAATATGCAAACACACATAGGGAGAGAATACACTGAGATGCTTGACTCTGAGGGAACTCAAGACCTTGAGGCTTGGAAGCAACTTGGGTTGTCTACTCTGCCTCCCCCAATCTGTAAATGAGAAAATGGAATTCTATGTAGGTGAAAGGACTCACTCAGGTCACGAAGCTGATTAGTGACAGAAGCAGGCTAAAACGAGGTCTGGGTGCCAGTATCCTTATTTCCTGGCTCAGGAACTTTCCAAAGTTTTCAGACTATCCTCTGGAGAGCCCTGGGGTTCTGGGGGAATCTCTTTCAAGACTGTGGGTAAGAGAAGCAGCAGTAGGTGAACTTTTATTTATCTATTTTACTTCTTGGGCTTTCCACTGAGATTTTGTTGTGACACAGCAGAAGTGTTTCATAATTGAAAAAATATATTTAAAAACTGCTGCTTTCTGTGGATGTTTAAGCAAGTGATTTCAGGGAATATGGGACTGCTCTCAAATGCTTAAACTTCCTTTAGGCAGAGGACCAAGCTATTTATTACTCCTTTAAAGAGAAGGCTTAAATGAGACTTTAATGCAATTTGTTGCTATCATTTCCTCCTCTCAATAGATTTTAAGAAAATTAAATAAGAATCAGGAAGAACATAAGAGGGAAAATAACATAGAAAAGGACATCCAGGAGCAGGCTTGCCTCCCTCCATTTTGCTTATGCTCATCCTGTCCTGAATTGTAAAACCAACCTGGTTTTCTTGGTGATGGGACAGATGGTCAAGGATCGAGAAGGATGAAGAGAAGACAGAGGTAGAACTGGAGGGAGTTGGGGCCCATAGCAAAGGTGGTTTTTCCCTGCAGGCCTTCTTTCCCTGTATTCAGTTCAGGGCTGGAGTTAGGGAAGGCTGGAAGAACTGTGAAACTGAGCTCTAAAGCAGGCCAGGTGGAGGCAAAAGAAGGGATCTGTGGTTTCCAAGTGACCAGGAACGATACTGAGTAATTGTTCTTTTATCTTTGAGCAGTGACTTAAATCTGAGTAACCAATCACCTTTCTTTCCTTTTAATCTTCCCATTAGATCAAGCCATGACCATTGTCATGGAAAATGCATGGGAGCTTAGTGATGTGTCGATGTGGTTTGAGGGTGATTATGAAAATTTCACTGGCATGCCACCCACAGAAGACTTTAGCCCCTGTATGGTGGACACTGAGACACTCAACAAGTATGCAGTGGTTGTTATATATGTCCTGGTGTTCCTGCTGAGCCTGCTGGGAAACTGTCTGGTGATCCTGGTGGTCTTATGCAGCCAGCTCAGCCGCTCTGTCACCGACGTCTACCTGCTGAACCTGGCCATGGCCGACCTCCTCTTTGCCTTGACCCTGCCTATCTGGGCCGCTTCTAAGGTGAAGGGCTGGATCTTCGGCACAGCCATGTGCAAGCTGGTCTCGCTCCTGAAAGAGGTCAATTTCTATAGTGGTATTCTACTGCTGGCCAGCATCAGCATGGACCGCTACCTGGCCATTGTCCACGCCACGCGCACGCTGACCAAGAAGCGGCACTGGGTCAAGTTCATATGCCTAGGCATCTGGACCCTGTCCTTTATCCTGTCCCTGCCCGTCTTCGTCTTCCGCAGGGCATTTGACCCACCCTTTTCCAGCCCAGTCTGCTATGAGGACATGGGGGCTAATACAACACAATGGCGCGTTGTTTTGCGGGCCCTGCCTCAGACCTTTGGCTTCGTCCTGCCACTACTGGTCATGCTGTTCTGTTACGGCCTCACCCTGCGCACGCTGTTTGCCACCCACATGGGGCAGAAGCACCGGGCCATGCGGGTCATCTTTGCTGTCGTGCTGGTCTTCCTGCTCTGCTGGCTGCCCTACAACCTGGTGCTGGTGGCCGACACCCTCATGAGGATGCAGGTCATCAAGGAGACCTGCGAGCGCCGCAACCACATCGGCCGGGCCCTGGATGCCACCGAGATTCTGGGCTTCTTTCACAGCTGCCTCAACCCCCTCATCTATGCCTTCATTGGCCAGAAGTTCCGCCACGGCCTCCTCAAGATCATGGCCAGCCACGGCATGGTCAGCAAGGAGTACCTGGCCAAGGAGGGCAGGCCTTCCTTTGTTAGCTCTTCTTCAGGGAACACATCCATTACCCTCTAAGACCCCACCCCGTTGCAGCCCCTCAGGCTCCTCCCTGCCTTTCAGCAAACCCTGCCAAGGCTCGTGGGCACTGGCAGATCACAGCCTCTGTGCCAAGACAGCCCTCACTGTGGTCACGGGAAGTTGCTGAAGCCATATCCTTACCAGGCCCATTGTATGGTTTAGAAAGCCAGCCTGGTGCCCCACCCCTTATGTGTAACTACTGTGTCAACTGCTAGAGCTCTGTCCATCCTGCCACTGAGCCCACAGCTCTGGCTCAGGGATGTTTTAAAGACATTCTCTGAAGTGACTGCAAAATATTCCCACAGTTGGGAGCCATTCGTGGCAAACACCATGAGTTGCTCCCCTAACTCTTTCCTGCCTGCTAGTGAAGTCCACTTCCCAAGAGAGGGGCTAGGGATGACGGACGCTCACTGTCCAAGACTCCCCTAGAAGCGACCATCACACATGGTTCTGACTAGCGAGGCCTAAACCACTCTCCAGGGAAAAGCCTGCTGTGGAGATTTCCCCAGGCTTCATGGTGTAAATGCTCCGGGGGTGATTTCATGTGATGGGGTGAACAACCCGTTCATAAAATTCTAGAAATTGTAACAATCTGTTTTCAAGCAAGTAGATACAAACTGGGCTCAAGAGGAAGTCTGCTTGGGTCTCTTGGGAACTCTTGGGGAAAATCTTTGGTTTTAAAAATAGAGCAAGAGACATACACACATACACCTTTGTTTATTTGCCTTTGAATATGATTCTTCAACTGAGGCAGTTACTCAGTGAGAATGAGACCAAGACCCCAACTTAGGCTGATGGAATCAAAGGATACAAAAAACCTGTAAATAAACCAATAAATGATTTTTAATAAGGGTGCCAAGATTGTTCAATGGGGAAATTATATTCTTTTAACAAATCACACTGGGAAAACTGGATAATCACATGCAAAATATGAAATCAAACCTTTAACTTATACCATATACAAACATTAAGTCAAAATGGAGCATAAAACTAAATGTAGGAGCTAAAACCACTAGACTCTTAAGAAGAACATGTAAGGGAAAAGATTCATTTGGTTTGAGGTTGGGAATGGAGGGAGGCTCAGAGAAGGTATTTACATCAAGATTAAGATTGGTATTAAGGATGGGAGTTGGCACTGGAGTTGGAGATGAAGTAGAGAAGCCAGGGTTGGGGTGCCGGCTAAAGTTGAGTGTTAGAGGAGAATGGATGTGAGGAGGAAGAGAGATCCAGAAATAGGGAGAGGGTGGAGAGGGGGTGAGTGAGATTCAGGGAGGATCAGGAGGGTTGGGAACAGATATGGATGGAGGCTTAGGAATGGGATGAATGTGGGGACGTTGTGGGGGGGCGTTCTCTGCCAGGGACATCAGAAAGGGCATGAATGGCAGGAATGGGCTAGTGACCAACAGTGGCCACTCATGCTGACTTCAGTTAGTGACTGGAGCAAAAAGAGGCCACAGATGGCATCACCAGCCTCTCCGAAGCTGCGTCTGAGAATACTTGCAGGGCTCTCCAAGTAGGTCCAGGAAGAAGAGTTAGGAATTCAAGCCCTGACACATAGATGGAATTCAGCATAGAAGACAGAAGAATGTGGCGAGAATCCAGGAAATGGGTCTCAGAAGTCTTCTTTACCTTCCAACCCCCAATGCACTGTACCTCAATGCCATGCAACAGAGAGACATCTCAGCAGGGGCTTCAGTACGTAAATAAGGATCCCCACCAGTAAAATAACTTGAAAGTGTTTGAAGCAGGTGTGGCGTGTAATCAGAATGCTCTTCAAACAAATGCAACATTATTAGATCAGATCTTTAAATTCAGTGTAGGATTTTCTGGTTACAGCTCAAGACACAAATAGTTTGGATTTCAGATCTATACTGTCGGGACCGAGACCAGGACCTTGCCTCCTATGCAACAAAACAACACTTGATCGGAACTTAGGGTAAACATCCCGGTTGAGAATGCAGCACACCTGAATCCCTTCCCCCACTCTCCTTCCCTTCCCGCTCAGCAAGTTTTGGCACCAAAGAGATGACGATGGATCCCTCCTCTCAAACCCATTGGCTTTTAAGACATTAGACCATCAGACCACGCCCGCCCGTACCTTCTGTGCCGCCCTCAGGTATATATATATGACTGTTGTAAGAATAAAGCGGCTCTCGCGCGTGTCTCCGTCTTTACCTTCTTCCTCGCGCTGTCCCTGGGGCTCTACCCCCTTGCCTTGCTGGTCAAGGCCCCCCACACTACACAAATGTGAGGATGTTGGTACTGAAATTATGTGGTATTGAAATATCAAAAACTGGTGTTTTCATTACTAGGATTAGACATTAGTCAAGGCAGGGAGATGATTCCCTGCAAGGAGGAGCTTGATGTCTCAGATGGGGCTGGGATGAGGGACTGGGTGCACTTTAGGACAGGAGTCAGAGTCCCTGTGTGTTGGAAAGAATCAGGATGGGGGCCCTCCCTGGTGGCGCAGTGGGTTGAGGCACAGCAGTAAGAAGCTAAAGCCACTTCAGCATGAGTTCGATCCCTGCCTGCCCCGGAGGTGACCACATGGTGCGGCAGACCTCTCCTGACCACCTGCTACTCCCCTCATCAGTGCACTTCATCAGTCGGCCTGTTCTGCTCCCCACTCTGTCTCTGATGAATCCTCTCACAGCCCCTGCACCTCTGGTCTGTACCCCAGTTCTGTATGCATAAATAAATAAATCTTCTGGCCTGTACCCCAGTTCTGTATGCATAAATAAATAAATCTTCTGGTCTATACCACAGTTCTGTATGCATAAATAAATAAATCTTAAAAAAAAAAAGAATCAGGATGGGATTGGGGCTAAAGAGGTGATAAATATGAAAGACAGAGTATGAGACAGGGATTGGGATATGAGTTCTGCACAGTGCTTGATTTAAAAAATGTTTTAGTTTGCTTTGCAGGCTAAGTTAAATTGTGCCAGTCTCCGAGGAATTATATGACCGATACTAGTTCTTTCTGACCAACCACAGCACCCTCACCTTCTCCTGCTCCCCTATCCAGTGGTCCATTACTGGCTCCAACAAAAACATTAGCTGATAATCAGGATTTTATGCCATAGGGGTTTAAGATGACCTCTTCCCCAACGTTGTGCCTTTTTTTTTTTTTTAAAGATTTATTTATTTGTGCATACAGAACTGGGGTACAGGCTAGAAGCTCAGGGCCGGTGAGAGGCTTCACCAGAGACAGAGTGGGGAGCAGAACAGGCAGATCGACGAAGTACACTGCTGAGGGGAGCAGTGGGCGGGTAAGGAGAGGTCTGCCACATCATGTGGTCACCTCCGGGGCAGGCAGGAATCGAACTCATGCAGAAGTGGCTTTAGATTCTCAATGCTGTGCTTTAACCCGCTGCGCCACCAGGGAGGGCCCATTGTGCCTTTTTAATCAAGATGTTGCAGAAGCTGAACTGTCTCAGAGAAGCAGATGAGGTAAAAATGCCTTGTATAGTCTAAGAGCCTGCCCAGAGGTATCAATCCCCAAGAACTGATGGAAAGAAGTCTTCTGTTGCTTCTGCTCTGTGGCTGGAGGGGCCACAGACCTCTGAGCTCAACCCAGAAAGACAAAAGTGGCCAATGGCTGTTCACTCACTACTGTGGCTTCTGTCATTCTGCTATCTGGATTTTAATCTCAAGATCTTTTTTCCAACCTGGAGGGCAGAAATGACTTAAAGAACTAAAAAAAAAAAAACAGAGTATGTTAGTTTAGACTTTCTAAAAGTAGTTTTTTTTCTTTTTTAAATGAAAGTATCTCATGTACTTTATTTGAAAAAGTGAAATAGCTTATGATTAAAAACAGCAGTTCTCTTCTGCCCATTTCCCAGAGCCAAAGGCTTTTACTCTCGTACCTATTTCATGTAATCATGGTCTGCATATTTCTAATTATCATGCTTATTTACTAGTTCTTGAGTCTTCCCCCTCCCTCCAGTTTTAGATATCATCTGTTGACTTTCTATTTTGGTTTCCAAGGCTTAAAACTCTCTCCCAATTTTACCCCTGTCCAATATAAATACAAGGCACATATAAATAGGATCTCCCCATTGTCCCAGGACACAGATGTCACATTATTTGATTAAAACAACATTTGATGTCTTGGTTATATGATGATGTAAAACATTATTCCGGTTGGCTACAGTGTTTACATTTCCTTTCTTTGTACAAGTTGTGTTTTCCCTGGAATTAAGATATGGTTTTCTATGTACTTTCCATGACGTCAGTGCCAAATGTCTCCCTCACATTCAGTAGGTGATCTACCATTTTTTTCTTTCCTGAAAACCTCTCTCTTTGGAGCTCTTTATAAAGTCCTGTTCTGATCTGGACAAGTTACTCTTCAGGCTTGGTTCTTTTTATTTTCTAAATAGTTTTAATTATTATTTCCAAATGAATTTTAGAATCTGTTTAACAATTTCTACAAGTTACTATTGTACTAGGATTTTGACTTGAATTATTTTGAATCTATAGATCAATTTAGAGAAAACAGACATCTTAAGACTATTGAGTCTCCTGGGCCCTCCCTGCTGGCTCAACGGGGAAAAGCACAGCACTGTGAGCTAGCCATAGCTGCCACAGCACGAGTTCAATCCCGGCTCCGAGGTGACCCACAAGGCACAGCAGACCTCTCCTGTCTCCCTGCTGCAGTGTACTTCATGGATCTGCCTGTTCTGCTCCCCTCTCTGCCTCTGCTGAATCCTCTCACTGTCCCTGTACCTCTAGCCTGTATCCCAGTTCTATATGCATAAATAAACAAATCTTAAAAGAAATTTTTTTCTGTAGTTATATTTTAAAGTTCTAATAGGCTCTTTTCCTGCCACCAATCTTGCTTTACATAGCATCTCTTTCTTGCTTCATGGATACAGTATTTCCTTTTATCCTTTTGAGGTTGTTAATGGTTTTTGTGAGTATTTCTTTTGCTTCCTTCATCGTTTCTGTGTGTTTTCTTGTCTTTTTTTTTTAAGATTTATTTATTTATACATACAGAGCTGGGGTACAGGCCAGAAGTACAGGGGTGGTGAGAGGATTCACCAGAGACAGAGTGGGGAGCAGAACAGGCTGACTGATGAAGTACACTGCTGGGGGGAGCAGTGGGCGGGCCAGGAGAGGTCTGCCGCGCCATGTGGGTCACCTCCGGGGCAGGCGGGGATCGAACTCATGCTGAAGTGGCTTTAGCTTCTTAGTGCTGCGCTTTAACCTGCTGCACCACCAGGGAGGGCCCCTTTTCTGGTTTTTTAAATCAGTTACCACTTTACATCTACTTTTTGACTTGTGTTTAAAAAACTTTTATTTTCTCTTACATTTTCTTTTACCTTGTGAGATCATGCTTTAAAAATCCCTCCAGTGTTATTTTTTAGTGGATTTTTGAGAAGATTTAAAAAAAATTCTCTAATCCCTTGTTTTTGATATAAAATTCTAATCTAAAAAGCATACTTATTTTATTTTAAAGTCATGTTTGGATTACTCTGTTATCTTTAGTTCCTCAGGTGTGAATTCTGCAGTTTGTTATGTCAGCTGCCAGTTGCAGTGGTTGGTAGTACTTTGTAATATTTGACTGTGAACTCATTTTTAAAAAATATTTAAATAACAATTTTATTAAGGAAAAGGACAGAAGAGTAAAAGACACGTTTATAGACACAAATTGGCAGGAAGAGCTGCCCCGAAAAGGACAGGTTTGCTGAGAGAGGCCTGCAACCTCTCAGCCTTAGGAGAGCAGCCTCCTCTGAGGGAAGTCTGTGCAGATAAGCCCTGGCAGGTACAGGTCACAGGCAGGCAGGAGGCTGCTGCCCTGCAGAGGGAGAGAGCGGGTGGAAAGAAGCACCTGTGTAGGCA